TGTGTGACACAGCTGTGACCACACGTGTGGTGCCAGACCCGGCTGTGAGGGCACACGTGTTTGCACACCTGAGGGGTTTGTGGGCTCGCGTGTGCAGTGTTTGCACGCACATGCGTGTGCGGGTGTGCGGAGCCACGGGGGCGTCACAGACACAACGTGGGTGCGTCTGTGGGGATCCCAGTGGTCCCGGTATTCCCGCTGGTCCCGGTATTCCCGGTGGTCCCAATAGTCCTGGTGGTCCCGATATTCCTGGTATTCCCGGTGGTCCCAATATTCCCAGTGGTGCCGGTATTCCCAGTGGTCCCAGTATTCCCAGTATTCCTGCTGGTCCAATATTCCCAGTAGTCCCATTAGTGCCGGTGATCCCGGTGGTCCTGGTGGTCCCGGTATTCCCCACTGGTCCTGGTATTCTCGGTGGTCCCGGTATTCCCTGTGGTCCCCATATTCCCGGTATTCCCAGTAGTCCCGATATTCCCGGTATTCCCGATATTCCCAGTATTCCCGGTGGTGCCGGTCATCCCGGTATTCCCGATATTCCCGGTATTCCCGGTGGTCCCGATATTCCTGATATTCCCGGTATTCCCGGTGGTCCCGATATTCCCGATATTCCCAGTATTCCCGGTGGTTCCGGTGGTCCCGATATTCCCGGTATTCCCGGTATTCCCTGTGGTCCCGATATTCCCGGTATTCCCGGTATTCCCGATATTCCCGATGGTCCCGGTATTCCCGGTATTCCCGGTATTCCCGATATTCCCGATGGTCCCGATATTCCCGGTATTCCCGGTATTCCCGATATTCCCGGTATTCCCGGTATTCCCGATATTCCCGGCCGTTCCGCCAGGGGGCGCTGCAGGGCCGCTCTCCGCGCTCGGGCGGCGCAGAATTCCCGAAATCCGCGAATTCCCGGTGAATTCCTCGGTCCTGGCGGGCACCACCTCGGGTCGGGATGGAACGAGGGGTTCGGGTTCCGTTCCCAAACCCTCCCTGAACCGTCACCGAAACCCTTCGGAAGTGCTGCCMCCTCAATCATCACCACCAAACCCTGCCCCGAGGCGGCTCGAGCCACCTAAAATCCTAAATGAAATCCCAGGAAATGCTGGAATTTCTGGGCGATGCCCCGGGATTTCGGGCCCGATCCGTGCCCGGGAACTTCTCCGTTCCTCACCTGCTGCGTTCATCTCTGGATTGGCCTCGCACCCTCACTGCGGGTGTAGTTGCTGTTCTGCCATCCCAAATTTTCCCAACGTTTTGGGGATTTACCGAAGGTTTTGGGGATTTTTCCAGGATTTTGGGGCTGTGTAGTCACTCTCTGTCCAGTGATGGCACCAGGATGGGCAGGAAAAGTGACAATAACATTCCCTTCCAGTGGCTTCACCGCAACATGCCAGCCCTGGGCACAGGCACAGGTGACAACGGTGACCCTCCCCACATCGGGGTGTCAATGAGGACCTTCACTGAGCAGAATTCCTGCATCTAAAAGGGCCAGAAAAGGTTCTTTTGTCCCAAACCCTCGGTGGGGTTTGTCCCAGTCCCGTTCCTGGCGGCCCCATGGGACAGGGGGCCATTCCCTGGAGGACACAGGACATGGATCTGCTCTTCAATCCTGGAGATGATTTTCCTGCTTCCTTAAGAGAGGGCTGTGCTGGACACTACTTCCCTTTCTCCCTTTCTCATTTTCCGTGATCCAGWGCTGCTTTTCCCGCTCATAAGGAGGAATAAAAAATCCTCTCCTCTTCGATTTTTTTGCTTTTACTGAAAGGGAATCAGTGCTTCCAAAGCAAAACAAACCCTTGGAAATAAAGAGGGCAAGGACAAGGCTTGAGCTGAGTCTGGTTTCTCTGCGGGGAGGTGGCAGGAATCCTGCTGGGATGCAGAAGGGGTGGGATTCCAGGGAAATCCTGCAGGGATTGTGAGGATTAGGGCATTATTGCTTTCCCAGCTCTTTTTGTTGTTTCACCATGGAAAGCTGCACGGTTTGGGGTCACTGCAGGACATTGGCTCTTCCATCCCCGCTTTGCTGAATGATCTTCAGGAAATTCCTTCTTTCCCCCTCTCCTGAATTCTCCCAGCCTGCTGGAGTGGGAAATTCTCCATCCCAAAGGTGCCAGATGTTCCCGATGAACCACAGCTCTGATTTCCCGGCAGGAAAACATCCCTGGGAAGATTCCCGGTCCTCAGAGGGGGCACTTCCCTGCTCCACTGCACTTCCAGGGATCACTGGGAGCTCTGGGAAAAGCCTTCTTCCCGTGTTCCTTCCCTGGAGCCCCCAGGAACACCTTTAATCAGGTACTCCTCCTC